AGGCCCTTGGCCGCGCACGTAGTACCCGAGCTTGTCCCACCGGAGGACCGCCGGTCGAGCGGGACGCCGCCGCCCTCCCTCGCCGCCGCCGCCGCCGCCGCCGTTGGCGGCGCTACTACTAGAACGGCGCGGCCGCTCACGACCCAGCAATGGTTCCGAGAGATTTTGGTCGTCCCACTCCCCGCCACCGTCCCGCTGCTGCTGGAGTAGCTCCGCGGTCTCACTTGCGCTTCTGCTGGTGATGCCATCTTCTTCTTGATCGAGAGCAGGGGTCTGTTCGAGCAGAGGGGTCCCGTAGACTCGCTTCGCCCGCGACGCGGCTCGTCCCTTGGCCGTCGCCGCCGTGCCCGGGTCGGAGACCATGGCAAACAGCACGAAGCTCATCACCAACAGCCCGGCCAGAGAAACCAGTATAGCCATCTGCAAGAGAGAGCGGGGGAGGGGGGGGTGTACTCATGTACTCATAGTCGTGCATGTCGTAGTCGTTAGACCATTGACCTCGTATCCCTACAAAGCCGGGACGGAGCACGCCGGGTTCTCACCGGACCAGGCTCCAGGAGGGGGGGGGGGGGAGATAAGACAGATTATTGTACCAAGCGAAATCAGTGTCGCCAATCTGGCAAGAGACAGGAGGATAAGTAAGGTAGATGCAGTACGCAAAATCAGTACCAGAAACAGATCCTTCGACAACCGCTCTCAGAAGGACGGATCTACTTTAACTTCGACGGACCATGTGAGTCTAGACACATCAACAACCCCTTGTGAGCTCCACGAGCACAAATCATCGTTCTACACGGCATGGCCAAGACAACAGCTAACCTGCACTCCGATGGACCAGGAAACAGCCTTCGCCTTCGACCCAGACGGCTGCACCGGCGCCCCGCCCTGCGAATGGGAAGCGCGGAATCGATCATGGCGAACGGGTACTTCGTCGGACACGTACAACACACGCTTCCCCAAGAGCCACTGTAGTGTGTGGATGCTCAAGAGGACTGCGGGGGGCCCACAGAACATACCGGCATCGTTCCGACAGGCACCCGACCAGCTCACATGGCCGACACAAAACAGATCGGCAAACACACACCAAAGCAGCACACCCTACACATGTTAAAAAAAAGCACGCCCAAGTCTTGTGCCACAACGATTGTCTACTTTTCTCGGCCAGCTCGACCAGTTCAGGCCCAAATAATGTCCGCACCTGGTACAGGCAGGACCCAACGGAGCAGGTCATCGATAGCGGCGCGAACCCTCCCGGCTGCTGGTAGTAGCACACGTATGACCCGTTCACCTGAAGCGTTACGAAGAATTCCACGGTTGTAGCGTGTTGGACTAGACCCAACGACGTGGGTTGGATTGTGCGCGGCAGCACAAGCGAGGGGCATTCTTCGATTGACAAGCGCCGCCGGATTCGGCAACACTTGTTGCTATTCTCACGTTGCTGCTGGCAAAAAACATCTCTGCCCACATGCATGTATGCATAGGCCAAGCGGGGCCATTCACCAGCGGAAGGAAGCACCCAAAGGCAGGGAGGCACGGACGTCCCAGTGCAGAGCAGGGGGTCGCGGGGGGGGCGTGTGGTTCTTACCAGGATACCATCATCATCGTGGCATTTTGCCGGTGTTTGGAAATTTGAAGAGAACGAGATAGAGGGCGATGGGGTACGTGCGGTTTGAAGAAAAACGGCAGTCAACCCAAGGGACGGTGGGGTAGACTGCTGGTTGCAGGCCGACCTCAACATCCCACAATGTGTTGAGAAACGTCCAGACTCCTTCGTCTTTGTGACCACACGGGTGGGACAACTCACACTGTCAATACACTACCCCGCACTGGATATCATGGTAGAGAAAAAACATACACACCAATCGCATCTACAAAAAATAATGAAATACCAAATTCGCATGAGGAGAACACCCCACAACATACCCAACTCCATTCGGCAGCCAGGTGTCAATTCACCTTCTCTTCTTGGCAGGCGATGGTGATGGACTTCCCTCCCTCCGGCACGGCCGTGCAGGGGTGCGTCTCGTACGTCTTCCCCTTGGGGGACACGCAGTGTGGAAACCTGCGTCACGGGGACCCCGCCGGGCGGGACACGAAGGAAGGACGTCGGGCACGACAACGGGGATATTTTTTTATGATTGCTAACCGTACCTCGGCGACACAGGGAGCTCTTCTGCTGAGGCAGCGGACCGGACGCTGCCATACGTGCCGACGATGAGACACACCACCGAAAAATTCCTGCAAAGTGCTCTCCGTGTCATACCCGTGGCGTACAGTAGAACATCCACAACCTCCAACCTACCGGAGGGGCATCCTGACTACCAAAATTCACACGTGAGACGTGCAATACACACGCACATCATGCGTTGTCCTACACCCGTAAAACAGTACAAACCACACCCTGTATGCCTCACCCCAAACTACCGATTGGCAAACCTTGCAATCGCTCGTGTCTTTTGGGCCTTAGGCCTCGCTAACTTCCTAACCTTCGGTTGGCTTTCGTCTCCAACCTTCGAAATTGCTCATACCCCATGCGCCTCAACCCTAGTACCCTTCACCAAATAGAACCCACGCCTTGGGTCTCCCCCCCTAAAACTGCTAGGTCTCACCCGTCACACATAGGGTACTCCTCGGGAGGACAGAGTCCCTCCGTGTCGCCGCACTCGAAATTCACGCAATCGCGCTCCCCCACATCCGTCCCGCCGATGGGGAAGCACTTGTCGCGGTAAACCTGCGATAAACGGGGCAATGAAAAACACGGGAAACCCATGGGAAAACCCGCGTCACGGGCACAACGAACTCAAAACATGATTGCAAAACGCCCACAAGAACAACCACGCCGCAAACAGGGCGTTCAACGAGCTTAAGCCATGATTGCAATCCATCCTAAAAAAACACATACACAACAAAGAGGGCGCAAGGAAGTGAAACATGATTGCAATCCGCCGCCCTCGTGGCGGGAAGGCACTAGGCACATGTCACCACAAGACCTCCTGCAAACGAATTTAAAACTATCTGCCACGCAGACCGCAGTAGGCCTTCGCAAGGACATCAAGCTTGGTTTAAGTAGGGTTAAGCGGTACGGTTAGGATACTAAGCCCCGCCCTCTACTTCACACGCGAACAACAACATCCTGGTGAAGTCGGTCCAGTAGGCCAAAGCTTCATGTCACCTTGCAGGGGCCGGCCGAGCCGTCGAAGATCTTGGGGTAGTGGTACTTGTACTGGCCAGGCCATTTCTCCTCCGTCCTGGCGTGAATGCCGGCGAACTCTGCGGCAACCATCGAAGAAAGCACAAGCACAAGAGGTAAAGAAGGAGGCCCCAACAGGTTGTGCCAGCAGACACATACCATAGCCTTTAGAAGCATTTGTTGATTCAACCTCACTGAGACTGACGTACCGTAAATGTCAAAGAGATGGCACCCCCGTCTTCGCGCGTTTTTTACGGCGTATTTCCCCACAACCAGGCAGGAGGTACTACAGCCGAAAAGGGTGGTTCTGGAAACATCTCGTCGAGGACTTCCCTGAGAGGTATCGGTTGGTGCTCGCACCTTCCTAGTTTTGAAGAAATACGCTACAAACTCTTACACGGGGGGTGCTATCTCTCCGACTCTTACGGTATTTCCATTGTCAGCCGGTTACCGCGGTCGATGCCAACAAAAATACCCCAACACGAGCACACAGGCATGAGAGAGAGGTGAAGATTGGCTACCGTCGTACAATTCGCCCCGATGGGGGATCCTCGAACTTTTTCAGCGCCGGCAGAAGCTTCCAAATTCATTTGTTCAGAGGCGGAGCTAGCGAGGGTACTCAACACCATGGCGTCTCCCTTGTACGAAGAGGTAGCTTGGCTATGAACGTGGCTAACACAAAATGATATCGCCGAGCAGTTAGCAAGACGATGATGAAGACAGCCAACAACATTGGAGGGATTTCAATGAAAATCGACTCGCTTCTTCTGACCTGCCTTCGACTCCTGACAGAGAGGCAAAGCAGCAGCAGCTTAATAGTTTGGGCACCGCAGTCAAGCAGTGCTCTTCGCTCTCAAGCACCGATGACGAAACGACAACTCCACCGCCACCCCCAACTACAAAACCACAAACCCGACACACCAACAGGGCCACCAGAGCTCCCACCTTCACTACTACAATGGTAACCTATCCCTCAGCACTAACACGGCAGCGGCATCATATCATGACGCCTCCACCAACACCAACAGAAAAAATAAATGGTACCTTTTAGGACCACGAAGGCCGGGTCCTCCTCCGTACCCCCCCCCGTCACCGCCCACTGTATCCACGTGTCCGGCTGCTGATCGCACAGGAAGTCGGTCCAGCCGTCCTCCCCTCCGCCGCAGGAGCACGAGAATATCTTCCCGGCCTCCGATCGAGCTTCCTCCTCGGTAAGAAGGAGAGTGTTGGCGCTGCAGTTCGTCGCTGCCGCAGCCTGGATAGTCTCGATCACAGGGTGAATACACGGTATGAATGGTTCGTTACCCCGTTTGTAAGAGTGGTTATTCTAGGCTGCTGGGTATTTCGGGCGGCTTCGTGGCTGGTGGTGGGGGGGGTACTCATGAAAACGCATGCCGTAGTGGTGAGACCGTTGAGCTCGCAACCCTACATATGACGGAGCGAATGTGTCGCGTTTTCACCGGCCCAGGTTACGTTTCACAAAAGGATGAAGCTGAAGCTGGTAGTCGTCGTTGTTGGGTTTGATGTACCAAACAATTAACACCATGTGGGTATTCTTTCAAACCCTGGTCCGTGACCCGTGGAAAAAGATTATTCATTCTCGGCTCTGGATAGTACGGGTGGCTTCGTGGCTGGGAGGCACGCAGGGTCGGGGGGGTGGCGGGGGGGGCGTCATGCTGCTGGGGTTGTCGAGAACAGAGACAGCATCAGGTCAGGTCTTCCTCGTGCAACGGGCCCGACGTACATGAGCCCGACGTCTTCAGCATATAGATATACGACTCCTGCTAAGCCCCCCGGTGTCGATGCTCCTTGCAGCTACTACCTGTTAACACGTTGTCTCAACGAAACATTAAACATCAACGCAGGGTACACGTATGTCAACAGCAGTACAAGGGCTCCTCCGGCTGGTTCGTGTTCCCCCCCCAAAAAAATAACCGCGAGTGCGTGCTCACCTGCCCGTCGACCGTGCTGCTCGGGCACACAGAGACATCAAGGCAGCGCCCGCAATCTACGCCCGCCCACCCGTCCTCGCACAGGCAGTGCGCGCAGCTCAGGTCGGTATGGTTTCCGGTTCCCCAGTACAGGGTAGAATTCCCAAGGCAGGTGGGGTCCCCGTAGTCATACGCGTTTGTGCAAGCTGAGCGTCGGTTTGGGTGCGGGGAGGGGGCGGGGAAGAGAGTCAGGCACACTGCTGTACGCGTATCCACAACCCAAAGCGGTGGTAACATTGTGGCAGTGCCAACATCCCCCCTGGATGTATGTAGGTGCCTGGAGCAAGTAAGGCCGCGTTCGAGTGCATGTGTTACTCGAACGTACAACACGATTGTTCCCCTTCGCCTGCTATTCGAAGTGCTGCTGCGAGTACTACCGTATGTGGTACACGTCCGCGCACGCACTCCCTGCATACGACACTGACGTGAAACAAACAAAGAACTAAACAACCCCAACCCCACCGCATCTTGGCTGCGCACACCAGAGTGCAAAATTATTTGTAGACGCTGATCTCGCGGGTCTCCTACTATCGAGGGCGCAGTCAGTTGCCAGTCTAGTTTTCAAAGGCAGCAGCTTTGATACATCAGCCGGCACGATTGCATCGCAGTAGTGACGGCCGGAGAACCCCTGCCCGCCACAAGTGCATGTGGGAACACTGCGCTACCGCTGTGATCATGTTTGACAACCCGGTACACCGCCCGAGTTTCTGCATACCGTACGTACATAACGACCACCCTGCGGTGGGACTCCTCGTCTTTCGTTACGGATAGGTGGGGTCTAGGGTGCTTGCAGCAAGAACAACAGCATTGCCTCTCGCGAGCCACAAAAGAAGGTCGATCCCCGCACACACATCGTAGCCCCTCTCTATGCTAGCTGCTGGCTACATGTTGAACCGCTGCTGTGTCAGGGTGTGTCAAAAATGTGTCATTTGTAGCAAAGACAAATACGCCGCAAGTGTACGCCAACAGCAGCAGCAGTGCCTTGTTGGATAAATCAACCTGTACTGCGGACACTAACGCTACCCATGACAACCAGCAGCCAACATAATACCCCACAAATAAACGACGGCCACCGACGTCCATGATGGCTGATGGTGGGCGGCGCGCGAGACAGGTTGATGAGCACGCGAAAGACACGCACGCGCGGACAACAAAATATATAATGGGGGGCGAACTCTGTCGAACCTTGACGGAGAGAAGGACCAGAGCTCCGGTTTCGCACGTCAGCTCCAACAACAGAAGTCAGTACCAGTATCGCTCCCCACACGACACCGCACATCCGCGCTTTGCCTCGGCAGCCCCACATTCATCAGTGAACACGCAGCAGGTGCGACACTGCTTGTTGTTGTCAAACAAGGTGCAATTAGCGGCGACGCGACTAGGAATTTTGGGGTACCCATGCTCAATATCCGAGATCCGAGACCTCCGTGTGTTTAAGCAGACAGCACAGTTGCACCGCACCCGCTCCCGCTGGGCAACCCTTCTCAATTGCACGGCACCACTGCCAACACTAGCACCTATGGCACCAGCGGGAATTCTGTTACGGCGAGGCAGCGGATGCTGCTGCAGCAGTGCCGCGAGGAGTGTTGTCTCCTCTATGCGGGCATATTCCACTCTGGAGCTGCCCGAAGCAAGGAAGCAAGGCGAAGAGAACAAAGCCTGGGCCAAGACGCCGGGCGCGCGACAGGTCCTTGATCAACCACCGTTCGAAGGGGAGGACGGTGATATAGGTGCAGCTCGGGCTTCGGCGTGCATGCTGGAATCTCTCGAGGGTTATCTTCAGGTTCGCGATAACGCCTGCTGCCCTCGCAGGGGTTAATACAGTTTGTTTTAGCCCTTTTCGCTCGTTTGCAAGTTTGAACTTTTGAATCGGAAGCCCCCGCATGCCGCATGAGGATCGCATCGGTTTCGCAGTTTTCATCCCAAGGCAGATACACAAACCTTCTGCTCGCAAGTATTGTAGAACGTATGCGTAGGATTCTTGATCGACGTGCAAGCCGATGCGTCGGGAGGTACTAAGGCGTCCGGTGTGGATGTAGGCTAAACCTTGCAAGGGCTAAACTGCACCTCTCCCCCCCCCACCATCGATCAGGCTCGTCGATGGCCTTACCGCGAAGAACCTGCTCGGCGATTCCTCTCGCACCTCCTCACCTACCCTCTCACGCTAGCGGCCGGTTTGCGGGAAGCCCGGATAAAGCAGCAGCCCGAGTATACCAACAGCGACGGCCGTCGTAACAAGCTCGCCGTTGTCTGCTTGGGCGCCCGGGCCGAGAGCACGATGCCCCCGGCGTACTGGCGGGAGGCACTCTTCGCCCTCCCGGACGTCTCTCGCCTTTCCCTTCATCTCATCGGCCCGGAGCTAGGCCTTCCCCCCGGCGTTGTTGCGGCAGCGCGACCGGGGACAGCGGCCTGCGACGGAGCGGGCACGATTGGCCCTATCTCGACTGCTGTTATCTCTGTAGGTGCAAGGACGGCTGATATTGCGTGGACTCGAGCCATGGTGGGCTCAAGCGCCGGCGGGTGCGTCACGGGAGCAGAGCAGAAGCCAGAGGCGGCGGCGGGTTCAGCTGTGGGCTCTGGAAGAGGTGCTGCCACAGAACCGGGGGGGGCGGGGGCAGTAGAGGCTGCAGAGGAAGCCGTAGAAGCGGCCGACGCGTTCGTTCTTTTCAACCCAGGCCTTGGGCACCCGCACCTCCGGCAAGGGTGGGACGGGGCGCTGAAACGCCTTCTCGCTACCGGAAAACCGATAGTCGTTTCGTGTCACAGCCCGAAGGACCTGGATAGAGACACGCGTCTGCTGCGCGAGGCGGGGGCGGAGCCGTGCTGCCCCCCCAGCGCCGCAAACGCCTCGGCGGGGGAAGGGAACGGCAACCGGGGGAACGGTTTGGGTGCGAAAGAAAACCCCTTCCGTAGCTTGATGGCGTCGGAGGACCCGCTCTCGGTGCCGGGGGATGAAGATCTCGTGTGGTGCAACTGGGGGATGATGGTTGTACGAGGGGCAGGGGATGCAAGAACAAAGGGCAGGGTAGCCTTGTAGCGGTGTCGTCAGCTTTCTGTCCCTCTCAGAGAACACGTTGCCCACCACCCGAGGGTAGGATCAAAGGTGGTTCTCGACGGTTGTGTGCGAGACGAAGAAGAGCCGATAACGTGGCACATAGGTATGGGGGATTTTAACGGCCGCTAAGGCAAACCATCCGTACCGCCGGAAGGGTTCCATGATCTTCATGCAACTTGGCACTCGTAATTGAGAAGGGGAAGGAGGTCCCGTATCTTTCTAAGCCAATAAAATATGCTGTGAAAACCGCGGTAACGATTCACTTCTTCATTGTTTATTTTTTTTTAGCTTTTCCATTGCAATGCTGACTGTCCATTTCCAACAAGCTACCACGCTGCCGATGTTTTCTACACTCAACTTGTGTCTCGCTGTAGCACTGGCCCTTCTTGCAGGCGCACCTGCTATCGCCCGCGAAAACATCAACAATCCGAACGCCTCGTGCGGCGAACAAATCGGCATCATATATTGACCCGGCAGACCGTGCACGAAAAATTCTCCTGCTGGTCCTCTACCTCTACATGCCATACATGCCATGCATGCCACAGGTTCCATCCTTTGCTCCACTACTCCCTAGCGACTGTCGTGAGGGGGGGGAAGGCAAGAATGTCGTGCAGCGTACCCAACCTCTGTAAGGTATGCAAATGAAAATATCGGCACATCTCTCGCGAGGGGATCCCTGAATTGAACACCCTGTGGGCACTGTTCGTCAACCAGTGCAAGAAATCCAATCCAAGAAGTCACACGATACTCAAAAACAGAGTGGGTAAAGACAGAAAGCTGAGTGAACGGGGGCGCCGAGTGATTGGCGGAATCGTGGGCTGATTCGTGTTCAATTCGACGGCGTGCTCCCTTGCGGAAAAGCCATCGCGAAGCGCGTCTCGCGGCACGCTTTACGAATACTGTACTGTATACGCTCACACCGCGTTAAGCAAAATAGCGAATCAAGACTGCGTGTCTCTTTCTTTCCCGAATATTCGGATCCCGAACGAGCACATGGATATTGAAATACGAAACGCGCAAGGACTCGAACGCAGTGCAAGTGCCTGGTGGACTACGATTACGCCTACATGGGCGCCAACGGTCACCCGGATGACAAGAAAATCCGCGACACGAAAACAAACAGCAACCAATAATTTCTTCGTTCATATGCATGTTTGTGCTTCGGCAGCAACCAAAACCCAGCACCGTCGACTACACAAGGAGACCCCTCCCTGTGCCCCCAGCCCCGCTCTTTTCGCCTTGCCCCCCTCGCAAAATCGTACAACACTGCATACCGGTACTCACACGACAACGCGGGATATCGTCACACTCACAACACGAGAGAAACTGGAAAATATGGCGTCTTTGGGGAAAGAGGGGGTCACCGTTCCCGGTTAAGCTAGAAATATATACAACACTCCTAACGTCACGCGACCAACTCCAGTACTTTCGTCTCCTCTCTCGTTGATCCCTCTTCCTTCTCCTCTTCTGCCTTTGAACCCTCGTCTGTTTTTCTCCCCTCCTCACTCTCCTTGGAGTCTCCTTCTTCTTCTCCCTCCCCCTCCAGGCCCTCGTTGAGCCGGTTGACGAGGAACATCACCATGTCGAAATTGGTGAAGTAGCTGCTGTGGGCGAACACCGCGCTAGCCCAGGGGTGCATCCCCTCCAGGGTGGACTCCTGGATCACCCAGTCAATCCGTTCGTCAAGCTCGTCCTCGGCATCGGTGACCTTCGGGGGCACACGAATTTGGGGGACTCGTGTAAACGCATGGCACAGGCGTTAGGCCATTGACCTCGCATCTCCACAATGCCGGGGCCGAGCGATATTGCCGGGTTCTCGCCGACCCAGGCTACACGGTACACAAGGGTGAATCAGTGATGTTGGTATACATGGAATGCGCTCAGCCGTTCGACCATCGGTGGCACCGAGAAGAGGACATCTCCGACAACATCTCCGACCATACAGCAGTGCCTGGTTCTTCTCATAACGGTTCGCCAAGCGTGCCTCGTTCCCCAGCCACCGCCCGTGTCGGCCACTGCTGTCCGTATATACATCCAGCATATCTTATGCACATGCTGCTATCATGCCCGGAAACACGCGGTTGCTCGATCGATCGATTAGAGGGGAGGGACCATTGTTCCCTAGACAAGGAACAAAAGAGACCATCTAACCCCAACTCAAGAGAAACAAACTCACCAAGCGTACAATACGTCCTGGGATGACAACCGCCGTCTGGATACAAATGCCACGTACTTACCGGATCTGTCCACCGATCAGGGGGAGGGAGACACCCCAAAACCATCCATACAAACAACTAGAAATGGACGAAAGACGCGACCACTGGTATGCATAGGGCGCAGAAGCACGGACATCAAACAATTGTGAAATCCAAAAATGAACTTGTAGAGGAACGTAATGACAAAATGTGTCATTAATCGCTTGTGTCGCCAGGCGCCACAGAGAAACGCCAAGAAGGCGAGGGACAAAAAAAAGGTTCTTGGGGGGAAATTTCATTATTCACCTCTTCGGACGCAATGGGCTCTTCGTTGTTTGTCGTCCCTGGGTCTCCGATGGCGGATTTCTGCTCCAGATTTCACAGACACAAGGGAGGGGAGGGGGGGGGTCGTGAGATGCACAGCACGGGAAGCGGGAGAAGCGCAGCGACCTGGTGGGAACCGTATGTGCTTACATTCTGAAACGAGCTTCTTCGCTCATCAACGGCTTTCGACCGCGGTAGACGTCTCAGAGCTGGCGACGCCGACAGCACCTCGAGAGCAGACGGTCAATCTAGCAAAGAATGGACAGAGGCGATGGCCGAGATGCCTCCGAGAGGTAGGCGGGAACCTCCTTCTTATCCTCGATCTTGACAGAGATACCCTACTTTTTCCCGTATTACAAACCGCTGCACAAACCACCATTCATTCGAAATACTGGAACAACCTCACTTTCATTCGAAATACTGGAACAACCTCACTTTCACTATATCGAAGAACGGGTAGACTTTCAGTGATGGTGAAATCTAAGCATATCGAAAAGGAAAACGACGCTACGCGATGCGGAGCGGCAATCCATCGATCGTAAGACAGAACGGAAGCAACATGCACGAGTTGCTGCTGCCATAATCAAAGCAAGTCTCACGGCAACAGAGGGGGCAAGCACAAGCTACAGCTCACGATGGTTGTGTTGATGCTGCTCTGGATGATGTTCCACCCCTTCCCGGTGGACTTGGTCATCCGACCGATGGCTGCGTTAACGCCTCTGTTGAACTTCTTCACCGAAACGTGGATGCGGTCGCCGCCTCGGTGTGGTACCTGGCCAAGAGGGAAGCCCAGGGGAAAAAAATACCAACATCTTAATACGAGGACACGCAACGACACCTTGCTGTCTGATACATTCCACTACCCGTTGTCACCACCGCTGTTGGTGCGGTTTTTCATTCCTTTACTGCCTTACACGGTAAGTACTCACGGCTTGCGGAATGAACTTCGGTGGCAGTTGTGTGAGCACATTGCCCGACCTTGCTGTCTGGTACATGCCATTACGCGTGCCGCTGTTGATTCATTTGTTCACGAACTATTCCGAAGAGTATTCACGGCTTTTGGAATGAATTTCGTCGGTTCATCCCATAGCACCACACGACATTGCTGTCTGGTTCCATTCCAAAGCACGCCCCTTTCACCGCTGTTGATTCGTTTGTTCACTGCCCAAGTACTCACGGCAGGCGGAAATGAATTTCGGTGGCAGTTGAAGGCACAAGACTTGCGTAATGAATTCCGGTGCAACTTGCCTCCACTTTGCCGCTAAAACTCGTGTAGCTTTCCATACTTCATGACGTTCAACAACGAAAACCTGTTCACGCAAACGTCTGGGTACATGAGGTCTTTGGCTAGGAAAAGCTTCAACACATCAACCATTGTCTTCGAAAAGGTATGTGCGTGCCGTCCTCATCGCAACAAAAACATGCCTGTGGAAGAATGGGCGCAAGAGCCTTCCCTTATCAATCTCGCAGGAACGTCGAAAATCCCCACGCAAAAAAGCATCCTGCTCTAAATAGTTGACCATTTGCACGACCCTGAGGATCACATCAATATCGTGGCACCACCGACAAAGTTCGGAGTTTAGGTTTCGAGGCGTTTGTATTGATTCCAAAGAACGAAGAACAGAGTAAGTACCGCAGCCAGCCTTGCTCGTGCAGAAACAAAGCAAAAAAAGCTCTGTATCGATTCCAAAATTCCCGCTCGCGGTGGGGCGATATGTACACACACTCACGTGCAAGGGCTGAAGGTCGCGGAGTCGCTTGTCCAGCAGCGGCTCCAGCCTGTAAGCGACCGGGTCGTAAAGCTGGACCGGAAAAAAAAAAACGCAAAAAGGGCCCCCAACCCACAGGGTACCCAATGATATAGATTAATGACAGAGAAATCGGTGTAGATTCAGGAGCGCGGGGTGGGGGGGGGGGGCACTTTTTCATAATGTTGTCTTGATTTCAAATCAGCGCTCACAGCAAAATAGGGTCTTGCTTTGACGTCTAACTTCGTAGACACATCGACCTCGCGACCACAGGTTCCGTAGGAGGCGAAAATGTTGACGTTCGGTGCCTGCACTGTGATGAAAGCTGGAGACCACAGACAGCAGTAGGCGTTGACGCTGAGATCCGTCAAACAAAACATTGACAGTCATCAGGTGGCACGTACTTGCAAATGCGCAGCATGACTCGGCGGAAGACACGACCAACATTTTCCTGCCACACACGAGAAATTTATCAGATATAGATGCTTCCGCGCATTCGGAGTGACTCAGCCCTTCCTTCAGCCGAAACGTGGCTGCACAAAAAAAAAACTACACCCCCCGCTACCTCTGTCGGTGGTCAGGTAGAGATCCCGAATAATGTTCATTTTTCTCACGTGGTAGAGGTTGAAGAACCGGTTGGTGGTGTGGAACTTGAAGAGCCTCTTCTTGTCGAGGGTGGACTGTCGGAGAGAGAGGAACGTCCCGATCGGTGACCCGCAAGCTAGAAGGACCTCCGGGTAGAAGCTGATGAAAAAAACGCAAACGAATCGCGGAATTGTATGCCAACACGCAAGGATGCACGCAGAAATGTGTCTTACGCACCTACGTCGTACCTAACGAGGGTCCTGGGTGGGGTAAAGGGGTACTCTGAAATCAAATGGATATCGAAGATCCACTTTTCTTGTTAATATTTGCTCAGAGTTAATATTTGCCCCCAAGAGTTTCATTCTAACTCTCGAATATGAAGATAGGAAGGTGCCGTTTTCACTTTTCTTCTTGCACCCTCGAAACCGACGACAAACATCGCGCGTACAATGCAGCACAAAAAATGAACAAACGTGCCAGGCGAAGCGGCTTGGGATGGAACCCGGGCAACAGCACACAATAGCCGAACAGGCACCAAAGCCGTAGGGTTTACAGGCTAGTATTCAGCCGCACAACCATAGAGAACAAAAGCCAAAACCAAAAGGGCAAGAAGCCAGACGCAAAATTTGCAAGCTACGGCTGCACCACCAACTATTGTCGGTGTTGATGTTGGTGCTGGTGGCTACGTGGAAAAGAAAGAGCGTGCTTCTTCCGTACTCTCCCACGCAAAGAAACAAAAAATAGCAAGAATGGTGGTGCGAAGAAACACCACACACGTAATAAACGACCATAACCCTACGGCCTGAGGAGATCAAATACACGCCACCCGCGTCAATGGTGTCCGCTAGCACTGCAAAAACATGCGAAAAAAAACAGGAAACACACGCGAGTACAGTAGAGTCAAAACTTGTGAGAAACGCCGAAAGCTGTGGGCGCTAGAATCTCTCGACACAGAGCAATGGTTCGATGGGCGGCGCGCCGCGATCATCGAATGATTGCTCTGTGTTGATTGAGAGTTTCTACCGCCACAGCTCTCGGTGTTGCTCAAGTTTTTTTCTCTATTGTACTCGTGTGCGTCTCCTGTTTCTTCCGCATGTTTTTTCAGTGCTGGTGGTCACACGCTAGCAAGGCCATCAGCTGTAGTTGCCTGTGTTGTGCTTGATTACCCTTTTCTCATCGGCGAGCTGGTGCCTTACCACCCCGGCACAGCTGACCCCACAAGCCGGAAAAGGAGCAAGAGCTGCGGGACACCGGTGATGGGTTACCTTAAGAGGGGTATGTCCTTCCCGACAGCATCCTCGGCGATCTGCGTCTCTCCCTTCACCGGCTGCGCCATGAGGATATCGTGTGCAATGATGCTGCCAAGGCTGTGTCCCATTACCGACACCTTGGCGAGGGAATCATGTACGTCCGCGAGCGGCAGCACAGAAAAAAAAAACCATTAAATGATACGACTGCAGACATGTTTGGTTGGACACGCCGATGGTCTACTAGAGACAGACAGACAGTAGAGAGAGGGAGGGAGAGACAGACAGACAGACAGACAGAGACAGAGACAGAGAAAGAGACAGAGACAGTGACAGACAGAGGAACAGAGAATGAGGAACAACGAGAGAGACGGGGGGGGGAGGGGGGGGGGGCAGAGAGCGAGAGAGAGAGAGAGGAGAGAGGCAGGCCCTTCCGAGAGCGCTACAAAAACAAGCGAACACTACAGCGGGCCGCGTAGCCCATAATCGTGGCCAGATATGCCTACAGCCATCTATACGACAGCCATCTATACGACAAGCAGCGTGAAGAAAACCACACAGCACAACCTCGCCAGGACAACGTCGTGGCTTACGGAAGCATTGCCGAGAGAGATACGCACCAAAGAAGGTAGTACTGTACCTTCTTGAAAACACACACACAACTCATTGCTGCTGCTCCTGCTCCGCTAATGACACATGGCCAGACGTGCGTACTGCTGCCCAACACGACGAAATCATCGAGTTCACGTGGAATCAATCACACGCTCTACTGTAGCAGCAGCAGCCTCTTCCCAGCGGGACGACTTCAAAAAAGCGGCAAGGAAGAGAAAGGCGCACGTACCTTGCCGGAGAAGTCGGGGGTAAACCGGCAGAAATTATTCCACATTTCATTCATCTGCTCCCCGACCACCTTCAGGATTGCCACCTGCATGCTGCACTCGCGGGGGCATTGGGGGAGGAGGCAAGGATTCCTTGTGGGCGACTATTGAAGAATGACGTCGTGAGGGCCTGCGACTCCCTACCGTCCAAAGCACAGCTGATAGCAGAACCACGACAACAACTACAAATAGCAACCGCGAGAATGCAGCAGCGGCAGCACCAACCTGAACCGCATGAGCGCATCACTTTCACAACCACTACCGCAGCAACAACAACGGTAGCACCACACCAACCGCCACCAGCACCAGCAACAGTACACAGTAACAGCAACAGAAAATCAGCAGCAACAAAGGCACCGACCGCACGACCGCGCCACTTTTCCCAACCACTTACCACCGAGAGCCACAGCAACAACAACAACAACAACAATACCAATCGCACACATGAGGGCACTACCATCACCATCACCACCGTCACCAAAGCAATAGCAAGGGCATCAACACCAACATCAGGAACAACAGACGACGGCATGAGCCGCACAAGCACGACACTTTTTCTTCTCACTCTGGGGTCAGGTAGTACATGACATCCATGATAGCCTGGCTGGCGAAATCTCGGAAGCCCGGGATGTTTTTGAGCGTGATATCCTGGATCATCCCTTCGGCCACCGCTTCGTTTCCGTGCACCTGCCCGAAAGCAACGCCCAAAGGAAAGAAAAAGTAAATCAAGCGGCTTTGAACAAGGCTTGCCCGGACACTGTGGGAACCACCATATCCGGTGTCCCAAAAAATGCGGAGAATGGTAGTAGTTTTCGGAACAAACTATAATATGCGATGGAACCGAGCACAGTTCGCCGGAACGACCCGTGACAAGAGCAGCATCGCGAGCATTGAAACCGTGCATCGGCGTGTTCTGCATAATGCCCTTCAAGTCAGAAGTCTGTGATGTACAGCAGCAAATGGCTTGCACCTCGATGCCTCTTAGAATGTTGACATGAAACGTGCCATCTGACTCGTGCTCTTGGCCCCGCTTGCAAACCGCTTCGTCTAGTGAGGAACATCAGCCCCCCCTACCCGCCACGTCTCTTGCACCGCCTGCCTTCGCTTTCGTGAAAGTGAAATCGGTGTTGGCTTTGACAACACCGAGCTCAGCACAGCGTTCGGTACACCGGCCTGCAGCCTAAATCAACCAAAAGACTACAAAAGACACCGGCCTGCAGCCTAAATCAACCAAAAGACTACTATGCCGCGCCCCTTTTTCTCAGATTTGTCAACACCCTCCCTGCCTATCTTCCACTCTACCTGATGAAACCACTCCACCGGCAAAAACTCCACGTATCCCCCGCTCTCCTCGTCCCCATCGTTGTCCCCCTCCTCGCTGTCTTTCGACCCAACCCCCTCCCCCTTTGCCTCGCACCCTCCCCCCGCTTTCGTGACAAAGCATTTCGCGTCGTCTTCCTTTGCTTCCACTACCGTCGTGTCGTCCTTTTCGGCAGCGGCTGTAGATTCGGCGGCAGCGGCGGCGGCGGCGGCGGCGGCCGCCTCTTCCAACTTTGAGGCCTTCTTAAGGTCCCTCAGGAGCTCCGCAGACATGTCCCGCATCGGCCCCATGCTCGCCCGCAAGCTGGCCATCGCGCTCGACTTCCTGGACCACTGAGAAAAAAAAAAGGGAGAGACAACCAGGGGAGGGGTACGAAGCAATACGCGTGAACGTAGAGATACCCGAGGCATCAATATCCCTGCAAAACCAGTTTAGCTTCACGGGCAAGGCAGGCAGGCAAGTAGGTAGGCGGCGCATCGCCTAGCGCCATGGGATGGCTGCACGTGAGTCCCCGCACGAGAATGGCGTGCGTTCCAAGGACGAGGGTGGCTTGTGGGCGGGCTTGTGAAACTCGTGCTGAGCGTAACTTTCGTAGTACTTGGGGGCGCTCATTTCGAAAAAACAGAGACAAAACGACGTTGCTTTGCCACGGGTGCGCGAATCTCCGGATAGCCGGAAGTGCAAGAATGTGAATACCCCATCTGACGTCACGCACACCTCAACCTGACACCGCTTCATGGAAGGGGGCACCGTGACATCGCGTAAGGAGGAGTGGGGGGATCCATGAAAAAAAGCGTAAACGGCAAGCATAACAAGACTGCAGCATTTTACACACCTACCCCTTCGTGTGTAGTTGAAAAGACCGCAACATTCGCAACAGTCATGCGCGTTGTGCAAGCACACCCGTACCGTAGCACACCTCAAAGACGACAGAGAACGTGGACTGCCACCGCACCGTCAATCGACAGTAGCACACCTCAAAGAGGACAGACAACGTGGACTGCCACCGCACCGTCAATCGACACCACCGAGCTAGCGATGATGTCACTCACCAACGATTCGCCGATACCGTGTATCACGAAGACGAGGTGCTTCGGGGGCTCTCCCTCGAGCGGGATGTCCCCGTCCGTCGCTGAGACGCCGCCCCAACCGCTCGCCTGCAGCCAGTCGAAAACAAATTCGGCATTTACTGCTGTCATTTGTGGTTCATTGCTTATTTATCCTAGACCCTCCTCTGAAAATAGAGATGGATTTCTTGTGTTGAACCACAAAGAATAATAAATTGCGTCCCTTGGTTTCTCGCACGCTGTTAAGGTACATGGCGGTTTTTCCTTTCGGTGTCGTTCTTGATATCGCACGCGCGTGAGAGAAAAGTGACTTTGTCGCGGGCAACGGGGGAAGTGCTACGGGCACGTGAGGCAGGTAGATTGTGTGACTTTTGGTCTTTCTCCTCGCGTCCCACGTGCGGGATTCTCGCGAGCATGGCACAGCCAGACCAGGAACCAATCGCAGCATGCGACCATCTTGCTGTAGAGGGTGAGAGACAGAACATGAGCATAATTTACCGTTCCGAACGCACCTCTGGCGTGCCCCGTCGGACCTGAAAGGCGGTCTTGTAAATCGTGGACACCAACATCGACGGTACCTTCACCGGTCTGCCAATATCGAATGACGAACAAAAAGCCAAATGTGGCCGCAAAAACAGGCGCGCGCAGGGTCGGTGGTGTGTGACGTTCACCGCTGTACTTGAATTGGGGGCGGACTAGAGGCTGTCCGGAGCGTACCTGCATGATGCTTCGCGGTCATTGGGGCAGGGGGTGTGCAGCAGTATCAGCTGCGCAAATATTGCTGTGAATGACAAAACGACGTACCGCACCGTGTGTCCTTTGCAACGCACA